GCTTTAAAACAACAAAAGAAAAAACTTGATGCAAGGTGTGAGCTATTTCCTCCAACAAATTGTCTGCTCTCTGAAAATCCTTATTTTCCCTCATTGATGTATCATATAGTTTCTATGTTTTCTAATCCCTCCGGTTTTCAAAATTTGACTCCGTTTCATCCACAAATGACGCAGATTCTCATCTTTATCTGCTTGGTGTCACACCCAAAACAGTTCAATGTGAACTCACCCAGCAGATTATGGTGCCACAGAGGACGTGGACACAAAAGTAAAAACTTATCTCTGTGCGGACTCGAAGCGGATGTTTGCCAGACAGGTCTGTGCAGAGATCAGTTGTTTATCTTTGTAAAAAATGATAAACCTCCACAGAGTGAATTACGCCCAAGCATGTGGGGGCCTTCACACTTCATTTCCAATCTTTAAACCAGAAACTGCCAGTGGTTCCTCAGAACAAATTTAAAACTCCTGGTGTCGTGGGGACAAAATGAACCACAAGTTTTAAAACTGGAGCTTTCAACTGCATTTATATTGAATTTTATTGTGAAGCACTTTTTGATTTTCATCTGTACAATGTGCTAAATAAATGAACTTTACTCAGAGAAAGGCACAACTAAAACAAAAAACTTATGGTTAACATTTATGGTTAAAAATAACTAATATTGTTTTAATATGATCATTTCCAACATTTTATTTCTGGGTGCATGACATATTTTTATTTAAATTGGTCCATTTTATTGCACTATGTACAAAAATTAGTGGTAATGACAAAAAGTCCTGAATTCAAAGGTTTTGGAGAATAAGCAGGCTGTTCCCTCCTTGACAGCTTCAAATATGCAGATCCATCTATCTTCTAGGACTGGGAATATCAAATCGTTTAAGCTGAGTAAAACTGTTTAGAACACATCTCTTGAGTAAAAAGCATGAAACGGAGATGAAGAGATACAGTAAAAAAAATTAGATTACTAGAAATGCCTAAATGAAATGGTCTTTCCTCTCAGGAAGCTCCTGGCAAAGTCAATTAAATGTTCTGCCATTTCTGTGGTTTTCTCAGTGACGCAATGAGACTAAAAAGTGAAGCTCAAGTAATCTGATCCAGCTAGTTACATACAGACATTATTTAACACTTCCAGAAAATTTTCTACCATTTTGCAAGAGGTGTTTAAATATACAGTATAAGAGTGCAAAAAGTGACTCTTTTTATTGATAATGAAATTATGAATTCATTCAACTGTTTTGGAAATATATGCCTAACTAAAATTCATCATTTGGAATTTATGTACATCTTTCCCCTACTGAAACGGTTAGAATCAAATAATAACTGAAAAAGTCTTAGTTTGAAGTTATTTGTGGGCATTGCAGGAGGCAGAAAGCTCTGACAAAACTATCCATTTTTGCAGCAAGTGATTCATTAGCATAAATAATGTAAAAATAAAAAAGGCACAAAAGGAGAATCTTAAAAATAGATTTGACTGATAAAGACGTCATTATCACAATCACACTTTCATACTCAACCTTATAACTGAAAGGCATGTGTCTGCTTGTGGGCTTCTGTTTGCAAAACAACTCTTATTTACTTTAAAGATGACAATTTTAATTTTTTTTGGAACACAAAAAAAATGCCTGCAAAACTTTTTTTAAGCTTTTGATTTATGATTGCTTGTTCTATTATTTTATTATTTAGGTGTAAAAGCTGGAAGAGCTATAAAAAGGTCATGCAGTCTTAATTAATGACAGTCAGTAATTAATGACAAGCTGCATGTTTCTCTTAAAGGGATGATTATCAGTTACCTTTCCTTTTGAAAGCTGGACTTATGAGAACCAGAGGCGTGTTGACTTCTGGCTCAGACGAGCCACCGTGGCTGCCGGTTTCCGACATGCCATGATCTCCACACAGCACCAGCAGGTAGGGCAAGGATCCCTCTTCCTCCTGAAAAATTAAACAAGGTTGAAGACGTTCAAATTTGATCTCAAGCTTAATTCAAACATCTAAAATGACACTTGTTCAAGCCTAAAAGTTATACTTTTTTGGTGCTCCGACATCCAGGGACATAAAACGAAGTATATAATTTATGGAAAACAAAGACTATATTCACTGACAAGAAAATTTAGGCACCTACACAAAATGGTGGAAATAAAATAAAACGGCTCACTCTGACAGGTCATATGACTGTATTGCAATGATTATAACACATGTGCCAAATACAAGGTCTAAAAAAATAAAAACTAGACACCGCATAGTGGTAACATAATGACCCCCGCACTCACAAATGCACCAGAACTCAGAAGTCTTTATTCCTAATAAATGTCATGCTACTAGGTGCATCCCAAAATTGTAGTGGTTTGGATGGGGGTCTTTTTTTGGGGGGGGGGGGGGGGGCATTGGTTGACCTGATGGATAGTGCCTCATCAGAGCTAAACAACCAAAAAATCTGAAGCTCTTTGTTTAATAGTTATTGAGCTATAACCGTTTTTGTATGTCCAGATAACCCTTTTTCAGATAAATTGGGGGGTCCGGGGGGCACTGATTGGTGCGCCTGATGGATAGAGCTTCATCAGAGTTAAACAACAAAAGAAATCTGAAGCTTCTATGTTGAACAGTTTCTGAGTTATAAGCATTTTTGCATGTCCTGACCCCCCCTCTTTGAAAGGAGCCCCCTCCTCAAATATGGGGTCTATCGTAAAACCGTTGGCTGGCGCAGTGTAGGTCAGACTCATCTACAGTCCTGCTAAATTTCATGTTGATCGGTGCAGCCGTTTTTGTGCTACGGTTGACCAAAAATCACTGAAAAAAAAAAAAAACTACAAAAACAACATGACTCACACTTACGCTTCGCGTGTGTGGGTCATTATAATTGTTTGTTGTTTGTTGCATATAAAACAGTTTTTTCATCAATGGTAAACTAAATTTGAATTGATGCAACAAAATAAACAAACTTAAAAGGTGAAGGATAATACTTGTTCTGCCTCTGAGCTGTTGACTTTGAGTAACTGTGGTTCTCTGAGTGAAACCAACGTTGACCATAAAACCACGTCTTCTATAATGCATGTGGACTAGGAATGGGGCGGCTGTGGCAGAGTGGTTAGAGGAGTCGTCCTGAAGACGGTGGGTTGCTGGTTCGATCCCCCATTCCAGTTGGCTTAGTAATTGTGTCCTTAGGCAAGACACTTCATCCATCTTGCCTACTGATGGTGGTCAGAGGTGGTGCAGTACAGCAGCCCCCCTCTGTCAGTCTGCCCCAGGGCAGCTGTGGCTACAGTATCCTGATCCTCAATAATCCAGGTAGAAAAATAAGAAAAAATTAAGTAGGTCCTCTGGATGGATTCTTCTTTAATGAAACGTTTCATCTCGCAATTCACAATCCCAACAACTCAGAAAGTTGGACAACACACCGGAACACAAGCAAATGCCAGGGAGACAGAAGTGGGTGAAGAATTTATCTTACAGAGAGCTCACCCAGTCAACCACCAGGTGAAAATGAAGACCCCAAACCCAGACCCAAACCAGTCGTTATTTCGTATGTCGCAGGCATTTCAGAGAAACTGAGACTTTTATTCTCTAAGCATGGCGTCCCAGTGGCTTTCCACCCCAAAACACGTTACAGCAAAGACTGGTTCACAATTTCTCCTCCGTTTTCCTCCTGAACAGATGATAAATGAAGCTGCCTGTCTGTTTGTCTCAACGCCACTCTGTCCAGTAAACA